CTCCTAGCACAGCTAATTCCGTTTATGTAGTTTAACTGAACTTCACTTTTCAATTGGCACTCATGGTGTTCAGAAGTATTTTTTGCTCATGCTTTACTCATGAAATTTCAATCAATAACTTGTTTTTTTTTGGAGAAGTTAGATTTTTTTTTTAGTTTGCTACACTTCAGTTCTATAACTTTTCGTTTGTACACCTGAATATCATGTGTCTTAATAATATTCTTTGACCTACCTATATGGATTTTTTACTATTTATACTCGTATCATGAATTCAGAGATTAATGTTACAACTACTACTGCTTCTGGTCCTACAGCAGTTACCCTTCCTTTGTCTACAATAGTTTCAGATCTGCAGTTACAGCCTTGGTTAGCCAGGAGTTGTCTTCTTTCATGCAGGCTTCAGATTGGCCTGAAGATTATCCTGACATGCCTTGTTCAGGAGTACCTGAGCAAGAAGGCAATGATTTCAGCAGCATGTTTTCTCCCCCATCCTATGCCACACAGTCATGTTTAGTTCCAGTCGATGTGCCCAGGCCTCCTCCTTTCAAGGAGTTGATGAACCAGGTTTGTTATGTTTTGTTATTGTCTCCAATTTCCTTTGATCCCTCTCCTTCCCTTTTAAATGAGACACCTTTGAGCCAATATCTTGTTCTCTCCCCCTTACAGAATATTGGAGTTCATGCCAATAGGTTTGTGGACCAATTACATTCTGAGGTCAGTATGCCTTGACCCTTATGTAATATGGAAGTAGTTGGATTCTTGGACTCTCTTCTGCCTCTGTGGGGCTTGGAACCCAATACTTCAGTTACATTTTCCCAACCTCAACTTTCCCATTCCTGCCTCACCATATCCTCCCTCTTTCATTCCCTTTCCTCAGTTCACCTTTTTTCTGAAGCCCTTCATCACTCCCCTGAGGGGTTTTTGGTGGAGACTCATGCCCTGATGTTTTCTACTTTGGTATGATTGTCCTCTTCTGCCATTTCCCTCCAAACATGGCTCCTCTGTTATTGTTGGAATCTTTTGGGTCAGATGCCCTTTTGTCCAATCTCCATTTACCCCAACCTCCTTGTGGGACTTGCATATGGCTTCTTTTTAAAACAAGATGTCTTTGGGGGGGCCTTTCTGACTCATTAGAATCCAGAGTCAACTCTTCATTGGCTTCCTGTTTCTCTCATCTTCCTCCTTCCTCTAATTTACTGGTTCCTGCTGCACTTTCAGTTTCTTTTTTGAGAAGTTGCATGGGTAGTTTGTCTAGTCTAGGTGGAGAAGTCATTTCTCTCCTTCCACTCAATACCTTATTCATCTTGGGGTATTTTTTAATTCCTGTCTCAACCAGACCCATACTTCCGCCCTTTGCCTGTGATCTATGGAGCCTCTGGTTCAGACTATTTCCTCCTCTTCTTCTTCTCCAACTGTGTAAGAGGTTCTGTCTCATTTGGGACCATATGCTTTGGAGGCCCTCATTCCTCTTGGCCGAGCTTGCATGTGACCTCTTCAGTGGACTTTACAAGATCAGTGGAACCTCGTTTAGGATCCATTAGATGCCCCAATCCATCTCCCTCCTTTCCTTCATGTGGACGTTGTGTGGTTTTTGAACAGAGAAAAAACCACGGTTGGTGTTCCTCTTCCTCCTCCTTGTCTAGAGGTGCATCTCTTCACAGATGCTTCTCTTTTGAGTTAGGGGTGCATATTTCAGGCCATTGGTCTACTAGTGGATTCATCTATGCATATCAATCTCTTAGAACTGCTCACTGTTCATCAGGGTTTGGTTCATTTCCTTCTATCTTTCAGGAACCGGTTGGTTATGTTCCATTCTGACAACTTCACAGTTGTCTCATACATCACTCAGCAAGGGGGCACTTGATGGGGGTGGAAACATGTTGGATCTCCTGTTTTGGGCCCACAGCCATCATATTCGATTGATGGCATGTCATATACCAGGTGCCCTGAATCTGGTCGTGGATTGTTTATCGTGCCCCAACTAGATTCTCCCTATGAAGTGGTCTCTTGACCCACATGTGTTTGGTTGGCTTTGTTCACAGTTGTGTACTCCAGAACTGGATGCATTTGCCACCACTTGAATTCCAAGTTTCCCAGGTGTTGGTCATCTATTCCACATCCTTTGGCTGTAGTGGTCAGAAGTGTGTGTATGTGGGAGGGGGTGCTACCTTTATGCATATACTCCCATTTATCTTCTTCCTTGTGTACTTGCAGTAATACAAGTTACTCTGTGTTGAATCCTCTTGGTGGTGCCTTTTTTGGCCAGCACAACAATGGTTTCCACTTCTGCACCTACTCTTACTGACTCCTTCTCTTCCTTTGCCCCTCTCACCCACCCTCCTTGGGCAACCTCAATCAGATGGGCTACATCCCTCCCTGCCAATGCTCTATCTTCATATAAGGCTTTTTTCTGGTCCTTTACAAGACAAGCTGGAGTTTCCCTACAGGAAACCCTTTCTTCATGTCAGTTTACATACACTAGTATGTCCACTGCTGTTGGTCTTTACATTGTTTTCCTCCATCCCATCCTTCTCTCCCACACCTGACTTCCTTCCTTACCAGGCTTTTCCACAAGTGATTATCAGCATTCCCTGTTGCTGGTTATTGTGCGGCTTTGCTGGCCACTTTCCATTTCATGAGAGTTCTCTGTGTCTTTGCTTCCCCAGTCTTTACCTATTTATTTTGTTCCTTCTGCCCTCGCTATCCCCCGCTTCCTACCACACCCTCCCTGATTAGAACCTCAGTGTTGTTCTCCATGCCATAACACTTCCTCCCTTCAAGCCTATGTCTTCCTGTTTCTTATATCGTCTTTCCTGAAAGACCTTTTACCTCCTCTTCTTGGCATGTAGATGTTGATGTTCAGATTTGTTTGCTCTCTATGTCTCTCCCACATTATATCACAGGTCCTATGTTATCCTTTACCCACCTGAGGGGGAATTTGCCTTCACTCCCATTTTCCTCTCTTCTATTTCTAACTTTTATCCTTGTTCCAATCTGGATCACCTCTTATGTCCTGTTTGGGCTCTTTGTTATTATGTAGCTAGCATAGCTCCCTTTCATGGTTCTAGTTTGTTTATTCATTGAAACCCTTCCCTTTCCCACAACATTTTTCCTATTACCTTTACAACTTGGATTCATCAGCTGATTCATCTGGCTTATTCTTCTCTTTCTCCTGATGACTGTACTCTTTTCCAAGTTTCTTCTCATCAAATCCATCACCTTACCATGTTGCTGGCTGCCTGATTTTGTTGTCCTTTAGAGGATATAGTTTTTGCTGACATGTGGAACATTCCTCATACATGTGTGCATCATCTGGCTCTTTCATTCTCTACATGTTACAGCCTACGTCCTATTGCCATTTTGAGCTCAACAGTTTCAGATTGAGTGGATAGGTGCCCTTTTTATACTATTCTTTTTTACAGGGGCCTTTCTCACTTATTCAGAAATCCACACTGTATGACCATTCAGGTCATTAACATCCACCATTAAGATGGGGTGTTCCGCAACACCATTTATAGGTTTTCCTCATGGTGTTTTGAGTTATAACTGTGTTTGATTCAAACTGTACACTTGTGGAATAACATAAGTAAAGCAAAAGAAGATTGCTGATCATCCCTCCTGCTCCTTGGTTTGGCTGTATTAGGAATGATCTGCTTATCAAAATAAGGAAGGTTTTGTAGTCACCCATTGCATTTTCTCCAGTGTTGCATTCCTGTGCACACTCCAATGCAATCCCCCCACACACACACAAATATTTTTTCAGTGCAGTATGGGAGTCCTTAGCATTTATCAGCTCCTAGTCATTGAGGCAGTGTACCATGGAGGCTTCCACCTGAGTGTGCTCAATTTTTTTTGGTTGAGACTACAGTGGTGGTGTACTGTCGGTGTAGATAGTGTATAGACACTCCCCTTGAACGGACCTGATTTACTATTCCAGATTCCAGCTGCTTATGAACTGGACAATTTCTGCCAAAATACAGTCACCCCTCTGGCTGGGCATCCTCCTTCCTACTCTCACCCGGATGTCAGTTCCAGGGGGATACTGGTGTTGGTTGGAGCTGGACCAGCCACAAAAGACCTACTCTTTCTGCGAACTGGAAAATTCATTCCCAATGCAACCTGGTTCTGGACTGGAGTTGAACTGCCACATTGCTGTCCACCTTCTTACCATTGTCCGGATGACAGTTTCCAGGATGTACTGATGTTGGTTGTGTTGGACATGCACACATGATGATCAGGTCCTTGGTACAGAAATTCTCCTTCACTTCTTCTTCCTGTGTCCAAGAGGAACAGCAGACAACCCTCTTCCTATCATGGGCCGGGTATTCCTTTCATGGTACTTATGATCTAATGTGCCCTAACCACTCTACACCAGGAGTCCCATCATTTAAATTATGGGGTTCTTCCTGTGAATTCTTCCTTATTGTGACACATCCTTTTCATGGGCAAAGAATCTACTTGGATGAAATGTTGTGCGGTCTTCCACAGATTTTCTTACATACTCTTTATTAACATGCCCATGGGCTTCCTTTGGGTGCTTTCTAAAAGGGACTTATCTAGGTAATGTTACACTGGTCCCTTCACCAGATCATTGTGAGATTCTAGCTATTATGGGAGGAGAGGTAAGATATTGTATTGGAAGTTAACATTTTCCTACACTGAATATGTATTTCTTATAGATTCTTACTCTTCTCACATTTTCCACCCATATCCCCACTTCCGGTTTCTTATCCTTTTCTGTTACTCAATCTCGAAGTTAATTTGGGCTAAGTTGCTAGGAGTTGTGTCGTGCTCCTATTGGTGGAGGGTTGTCAGATGCTTATTTGCATGCTATCATGCAGCTGTCTCATGTGAGGGTAGGTGAGAGTATCAAGGCTAGTGGTGAGTGAAAATTTGTGCATGTAGAGGGTAGTACAATCGAGAAAAGCTATTACATGAGTGGAGGTTAGAGTCTATCAGAAATACATTTTTAGTGTAGGAAAATGTTAACTTCTTGATAGGTGTCATGGAGACCCTGGGATTAAAACTATCTGAATATGAGCAACGGCTCTTTGGAGAGCTCTTCAGTTGTTGTGATGTTGAAAACCAAGGTAGAATTTCAGGCACTAAAGCCTCTGAGCTATTTATAGCCTCTCAACTTCCAACAGAAACATTGCACCAAGTGAGTTTTAGTTTTTCTTACATTTTAAAGAGAAGTTCTCTAAATTTTCTTGAATTAATGTTTGTTGTATTTCAATTTAATCTGTAAAAGACTGTTTCATTGTTTGAGGTCAGCATTCAATCATCTAGATACAAATCATAGATCAAAAGCAACTAAAATGTCAATATTTTTCAAATCTATTTTAAACAAGGGCTGTGAAATTAAAAACAAATTCTTCTCTAAGAGACAAAATGACACAAAAGTACTATATGCAGGTTGTTTTTTCAAGTTAGTAAAATGACAGTATATAAATATTTATGTAAAAAAGTGATTTGTAAGATGCAAAACACTGAAGCATGAATTTTCTTTTGCTGTATTCATTATATATATGTTATCAGTTGTTAGATGTTTTTACAGTGCAAAATGGATAAACTAGATGTATGTGAGTATAATTAAAATATGAATAGCTTAGATGTAAAATGCTGTATATCTAATTTTGTCATTTTGTGAAAATGGTATATTTTGTGATGGCTATAGTGTCAAAATAAACCATTACAAGTTATTATATGAAAAGTAAAAAAAAATTTAGCATTATTATTTATTTAAAATTTTACAAACCTCGTTTAGTTTTTCGATAAAATATTTTATATCAATAGACCTTTTTAGTGAAAATAATATATTATCTACTATACTGTGCTAGTAGCTTCTGAATTTCTGGGATATGGCATATATATTGTATTTTCCATCTGAAGCTCTTCATGTATATTCATTCATGTATTTTATGGCTTTTATTTTTTTTTGTCATTAGAATTGTACAGCATATGTATATATATATATATATACATATGTAAAACAGTTTAAAGCCTTTTGTAATTTTTATTACTATCAGGTTTCTATGTATATGCATGGATGGATTCTTTACAGTAGGTATCTGTGACTTGTTGATGATAAACTGCAACAATAAACAAACAACACACAGTCAACTTGTTTTAAAAGAATGTATATTAAAACAAGTTAAATGTATATACAAATGTTCGTTACACTGTTAGTTATCATAGTTGTGTCCAGAGCTTTAAGTAATCGTCTCTTCTCATTAAAGTCCACACAGGTTCAGTTACTTCAGAACACAATTTACAAGATGAATTATTTTTCTCTGCTCTGTCAATACAGTACGATTGGTGATAAGTTAATTTATGTTACACTGTTGGTTTCCACGGTTGTATCCGTAGTTTTAAATAATTGTCTTTTTTCATGAAAAGTTCACATAGTTTGTTCAATTACTTTAAAACAGTATTCACAAGGAAAACTCCAAATGCTCTATATATGGCTAAACTTACAAATACACAGTCTAGGTCTGTTTGACTATATCTCTCACTAACTTTGTCTTACTAACATACTCAAACTACATTTTGTACACATATTTATAGATTGTAGACTGACAGAGGCCTAGAATGTTCTATACGCTATGCATTAATACTAAATTGAAACAATGAAAATGTTTAGAAATTTTTAGTAACAAGACACAATAATACAACAAGTGTCAATGCACAACAGTTGAACCACACAACATATTATTCGTTTACAACTACCTACACAAACCTATGATAAACTATCACTTCTAAAAATAATTAAATTTAATATGCTATACTCAAATTAGAACAGTCATGTATATCTAACAATACACCTTTCTTCAAGAAAAATATTTATAGTGTCTTTTTTGTACTATACGCAAAGACTGTTTTCAATTCATGCACAAAGTCTACTCATACAGTCTGTACCAACATTTGCAGTCCCCTTGATGGCTTCAATAGGAACCTGTAGTTCTGGAGGTACAATGCCTACCCTATGATTCCCACACTGCCAATTTTGCACCTCTGGATGTATGCAAGTGGCTGATGGTCCATCCGGATGATGAACTCCTTCCTGTAAAGATAGTTCTGGAATTTCTGGATGATGAATATGATGGCCATACACTCTCATACATTTACGGAGTAGTTCTTCTCGCTACTCAACAGCTTTTTACTGTTGTATATTATTGGAAATAGTCTGTCTTCATGTTCTTGCAGAAGTACTGCTTCAATTTCAACATCTGATGCATCGGCCTGAATGATGAACGGTCTGTTGAAGTCTGGCATTCTAAAAATTGGCAACCTTCTTAACATGTTCTTCAACTTATGGAATGCCATCTCCTGTGGTTATTCCCACTTGATTTTGTTGGGTTGGCCTTTTTTTGGTCAGGTCAGTCAGTAGTGTAGCGACTTCAGCATAGTTTGGGATGAACTTTATATAGTATCCTGCTGACCCCAGGAAGGACCTGACTTGCTGCTTGGTCATTGGAGCTGGTGCATCTTGTATGTGGGTTACCTTCTCCTCTTTTTATGGCTATCTGTCAGTTACTCACCTTGTGGCCAAAAATGTCCAGCATAGAATAGCCAGTATAGCTCTTAGGTGATCTGATGGTCAGACCTACAGCTCTCACTTGCCTGAACAGCTCTCTTAGTTTTTCCAGGTGATATTTCCATCTCTTGGACTGGTAGCATCCATCTGGTGTCACAAAGGCTGTATTTTCTTTAGATTCTGTCTCCATCAGGATCTGCCCATAGGTTTGGAGTCAAATGTTGTCATGAGGTTCAACTTCTGGAAGTCTATACAGAAGTGGTTTGAACCATCTCTCTTCTTCACATTTACTACTGGTGAACAGTAGGCCAACTTGGAAAGCTCAGAGATTCCAGCTTCTAACATTTCTTTGACTTCCTGCTTGATCAGGTCTCTCATCGCATACAGCATCTGGTAGGGCTTTGCCCTGACTGGATCCTTGCTTGTGATCTTGATCTTGTGTTGCACAAGGTCTGTCTAGCCTGGTCTATCTGTGAAGACTTTTGCATATTGGCACAGTAGTTCTTGTAGGTCTTTCTTCTGCTTACCAGTCAGTTCTTCACTTATGTTGACGACCTTGTAGCTCTCATTTCCAAACAGTGGTATTAGGGGTAGTAGGTCTTCATCTTATATGACAAAGTCACTGTCTTTTGGTTCTGAGACTATAACAACAACAACTGCCATGTCCATCTGTGCTTCAATAGAAGTACCCTTTAGATCTTTTTTCTTCTCAAAGTACCTCTTCAAGAGATTGGCTTGGTAGATCTTGGTCATCCCATCCACTTTCACCTTAGAGTCTATTCTGTTGACCACTTCCTCTACCTTAAAAAGCCCTTTCTACTGCAGTGTGAGTTTGTTGTTTTCTGTAGGTAGCAGAACCAAGACCTTTTGTCAGACCTTGAAATGTTAATCCTTGGCCTTCTGGTCATAGAAATGCTTCTGACTGCTTTAAGCAGCATACAAGTTCTCTCAAGCAAGTTGATAGGTTTCCTACAGTTGATTTCTGAGGTATAACTCATACTTGTACATGTTCGTCACTTCTGACTCTTCTTCTCATGTCCGCAGCTCTTTCAATAACTGTACCAGACCTCATACTGTTTTTTTTGTACAGTAACTTAAAGGGTGAAAGTCCTGTACTCATTTATGGGACTTCTTGGTAAGCAAGTAATACTGCCTGCAGGTATCTACCCCAGTCATGTGGTCTCTCCTGGCACATCATCTTCAGCATGCTCTTTAAGACTCCATTGACTGTCTTACAAAGTCCATCACATTTGGGGTTGTACAGGGTAGTAAAGAGCTGCTTAGTGCTGATGAGGTTGCATAACTCTTGCATCAGTTCTGAGGTAAACTGGGTCTCTTTGTCACTCAAGACCTCCTTTGTAAAGCCTACTGTGCAGAACACTTCCAGGAGTGCTTCTACCACTCTCTCTATATCTGTCTTTGGCAGTGCTATGACTTCTGGGTAACATGTCGCATAGGCAACTACTGTCAGCACATACTGATTGCCCTGGTCAGGCACAGGTGCTAGTGGTCCCATTAAGTCCACAGCTACTCTACTGAATGGCTCTTCTATGAAAGGCATCTTGCCAAGTGACATCTAGGCTACCTTCACTTTAGGTATTGTCCTTTAGCAGATGTCACATGACCTACAGAATCTCGTCACATCTCTGGTGACCCTTGGCCAATGGAAGCTGCTGGTGATTCTGTCTGCCATTTTCTTTGCTCCTAGATGCCCTCCCATAATTGACTTGTGAGCCAGTTTCGTCACTTGAGTCCAGTATTCTGTTGGTACTATGATCTGTTTAACTTCCTCAATAGAACTGCCTTGATAGATCTGGTACAGCATTCTCTTCCAATCCTCTGTTCTTTAAGTTCTTTTCCCCTTTGTCTTCTGCTCAACTTTCTTCTGGGCACTTCCCCAAAGTTTCTGCAGTGGAGGTTCTTTCTTCTGTGCTTCCTTCAGTTCCCATAGACCTTCATTCAGGATGGCACATTTTGAGACTTGAATGGGCTTGATATTTTGCTTGATTTTCTTTTCTTGAGCTCTTGTGGTGACTGCAGATGCCTCATCAGTCTCCTTTCTGTCTGGTTCATTCAGACTTTTACTGCCAAACACCAAGTCATAGATGGATGACTTCAAACTCATAATCTCAGTCTCTCATATAGTATGGAGAGTCCACTTTTATTCTTGCTATAGGAAACGTTCTCACTTTCCCATCAATCAGTGCACACAGGTGTACCTTGCCCATCATCTGGCCATGAGATACTAGACTGGTTCTCACTGCTGCACTCAGTGTCTCAAATGAATTTCACTTTCTTGTCCCCACCATAGCCTTCACCTACTGGCATGTTGTGGTTTGTTGGCACCTCTCAATGTTTGTCACATAGCACTGTTGACGTATTTGTTTAACTTAAGCTGACCATCAATCACACACTGTTTAATCATGGTAATCACACTTCTTTCTTGTGGTGAATCTGATGAGTTGTCTTGATTCTGTTTCTTCTGGCAGCAACATCCATGGTGATAGTCACTCTTTTCTTGTTTTTTGCCAGCACCATTTTTGTAGGTAGCTCCAGCTGCTTATTGTTAATATTTCTGCTGCTACTTGTTGGTGACAGACTTGCACTTGCTCTCAATGTGCCCCATTTTATAACAAGTATAGCATATCTTCTTTCTTTTGGCTGTTAACGTCTTGTCACCTTTGGTAGCATCCTTCTCCTGGTCATCCACCCCTGATTTTGACTTTAGCTGGTTATTTCTTGGAATTGCCAGTTATACTCCCTCCATGGGCATCCATATACTGTTTTGAAAGCTTGATCCTCTCGTCCATGGTTTTGGGTGTTCTCTCTCTTAGGAACAGTGACATGTCAGTAGAACATGTGATCATGAACTGTTCACATATTAGTAGATCTGCCAGTCTTTCAAAACTTACTTCTCATTTGTTCTTGTCAGTCCACCTTGTGAAGTATTGCCATAGACTTCCCACAAACTGAAATACAGTTTCTCCAGTGTCAGGTTTGACTTTTCTGAACTTTGGTGAAAACTTTCCTCATTAGGTTCATAGCATTTTAGCAAGGCCACTTTTAATTTTTTATAGTCCATGACATCTTGTGATGTCATGCCCTCATACACTTGTAGGCCTTTTTTATGAGAATGGGGCTGAGACAGTCTGCCCAGATGCCTTTGTCCCTATTCTGACTTTGGGTGAATCTTTCATACCTCTTCAGAAAAGCATCCATGTCATCTTTCTGTTCATCACATTTGGGCAGCTTGGGTCAGCTGGCCCTGATTGTATTGTCCTTCTTGGGTCCTTCATCTTTCTGTTGGATGAGATTGTCAATCTCAGTTTGTGTTCAATTTTTCTCTAATTCAAGTCTCTCCTCTCTCTCCTTCTTCTTTTATTTTCAATTTGTACTCTTATTCTCTCTCTCTCTATTTCCATTCTTTATTTTTCTTTCTAAATGTGTATTCTTATTCTCTCTGTCCCTCTTCTCTGTTGAAGCTCTTCTATCTCTAGGTTTTGTTGATGATGTTTAACAAACTATCATAGATCACCAGCACTACAGCTGTGCATATATAGGCCTACTTCTGCTGTTGTTCCTGTCTTCTTTTACTGCTGTTTACCACTGTATAGTTATGGATGGTTTCTTTATAGTAGGTGTCTGGGACTTGTAGCAATAAATATCGAAAATAAGCAAACAGCACATAGTCCACATTGTTTAAAATAATGTATATTAAAACAAGTCAACATTTTTACAAATGTTCGTTACACAGTTAATCAGCACAATTGTATCCATAGCTTTAAGTAATCATCTCTTTTCGTCAGAGTCCACACAGACTGGTTCAGTTACTTTAGAACACAATTGACAAGATAAATTCTTCTTCTCTTCCCTGTTGTTACAATACAATCTGTGATAATTTCATTTTAAAAAAAGAAGAGCTAGTGTATGCCTTTACGGCTAAACTTACAAATACACAGTCTAGGTCTATTTGACTATATTTCTCACTAACTTTGTCTTACTAACTTACTCAAACTACATTTTATATGCATATTTATAGACTGACAGAGGCTTAGAGCATTCAACATACCATGTGATAGTATTATGCAATAATACTAAATTGAAACAATGAGAAAATTTAGAAGTTTCTAGTCACATGATGCAATAATACAACAAGTGTCAATTCACAACAATTGAACTACACAACATATTATTTGTTCACAGCTATGTAACAAACCTGCAATAAATTATTGCTTCTAAAAAAAACTCAATTTAACACCCGTACTATACTTAAATTAAAACAATCTTGTATATCTAACAGTTACATATTATATACATAAACACACACACACTTAGAGCTGGCAATTCAAACTTCACTGGATTCCTACTGCAGACAAAACAAGCAATATAATGATACTGTTGGATTCATTAAAATATGTTTGTTGCTGTATGTGTGACTGAGGGTTTGTGAATTAACCCTACATGCATGGGTGTCAGATTGCACATCTCATGACCTTTTATATCAGCATGTAATCAGGAAGCTATACTTTCTATAACTGAATGTATTAAGTGTATCTTCACCAAACTTGGTAAGCTTTCAGTAAACTTTACAAGTCTATTGGTTACCCTTGTGGTCTGTTTCTTTGTAATTATGATTGTCTCAAACTGTGCACTAATGGACTAACAAGAGTAGAATGGACAGGGATTACTGCCCATCTCTGATGATCCATGGCATTGAGGCTCTTCCTACTGCAGACCTGATGTACAAGTTCAGATGCTGCCTGGTGTTGGTTGATTGACTCTGTTAATGTGATTGCCCTTCTTTTGAAAATAGGGTATCACAGTTACCCATTACATTGTCTCCAATGCTGTGATTCTTTGGACTCTCCAATGCACTTTCTCCCTCCTTTTTCTAGTAGAGTATGGGAGTTCTTGCCACTTACCACTTCCTAGCTGCTGGGGTTGTGGACCATGGAAGCCTGTCCTTCTGACTGTGCACAATACCACTCAGTTGAGAGTAGGGTGGTGGCATTTTGCTGATGTAGATGGTATGATGACCTTTATACCACAGACTTGATGTATTATTCCAAAAGCTGCCAGGTGTTGAATGTAGCACTTGCCATATATTGCAGTTGGCCCCTTTGTCTGTAGCACCCTCCTTCCTATCGTTCTCTGGATGTTGGTTCCTGGGAATTAGGTGCTGGTTGGAGCCGGAGCAGCCACATAAGTCTTCACGTGTGTTTGGATGGTACCCTTCTCCTACCACGGACTGGATGATAAATTTGCAATTCTGCCAGGTTTTGGGCTGGAGATGCAACCCTAAATAGTGGTCCCTCTTCCTACAGTCTGCTGGATGTCAGTTCCCGGTGGATCTGGTGTTGGTTGTAGCTGAACGAGACACATGAATTTTTGCATGTGTAAGGCTGGGTACCCTCCTCATACCTCAGACTAGATGAAAACTTTTCAATACTGCTAAGCTTAGGTTTGGAGAGGAAAACCCACCTGAGCTCTCCACCTTCCTACCATCTTCTGGATGTTGGTTCCTGGTGGATTTGGTGTTGGAGATGTGTGCATGCAGAGGCAGATTCTTGGTATAGAAGCTCCCCCTCCCCTGCCAGTACATGTTTTTTCCTACTGCAGACCTGCTGTAAAATTGGAGATGCCACCAGGTGTTGGTTGAGGTCAAACTCTCATTTATGTTCTGTCATGCCCTAGCCTCTCTACACCAGGGAATCCCATTTTTTATGTAACGTTTTCTTGGTGTCCCTCCTTGTTTCTGTCCATTTTGGGGACACATTACTAAAAGGTGAAGAGTATACCTGGCTCATAAGGGGTGCGGTCTCCCAAGAGTATGTTGTTTTTAATTGCTTCTCACGCCCCATGGTTTTCCTTTGGGTACTTTCTAAAGGGGGATCATTCTCTCACCAGACCTCCATTCGTTCAGCGTGGGATTCTAGCTTCTTGAGAGTAGAGGTAAGATATCATATTGGAAGTTAACATTTTCCTAAACTAAAAATGTATTTCCAGTAGACACCTCTTCTCACATTTCCAACCCGTCCTCCCCACTTTTGGTGTGGTTTGATCTGATATGATCGATCTTGAAGTGTAGCAGCTTCAAGATCATAGACAGTGATAGTTATGATAGGGGTTGTGTTGCACTCCTACTGGTGGAGAGTTTCTGCATAATCATTTGCATTTTAGTATGCAGAGATAAGTGAGAGAGCTAAGGCTAGTGAGGTACAAAAATCTGCACCGATAGAGGGCAGTATAAGTCAAGAAAGCTTTTTGTGAGAGGAGGTAAGTATCTATTGAAAATACATTTTCATTTTAGGAAAATGTTAACTTTATTTTTGTCTGTTTGTTTTTGAAGGATATAAATGACAAAAAGTATTGTTGGAGTATTAGCAAGTTTACTGTTCTTGTTCCATTTGGTCACTAGTAGTTGAAAAATTTGAAATAATCAAACAAAATATGTCCAGAAGAGATGTGTAATTTACATTTTCCAAGTTTAATAAGTTTCACCATATTATTATATTGGCAGAATTTAATTTCAATATTTGTCCTGTTTTAAGTTCCATAATTTTGAAAAAAATCTTATTATGAATTAAGTTATTTATTAAGAAAGTACCATAGAAAAAATAAATAAATTGTGTTTCTATTACAGATAACAGAGCTTTGTGGAGCAAAACGGCTTGGGCATTTTGGTCGTAGTCAATTTTATATAGCTCTGAAACTGATTGCTGCTGCTCAAGCTGGTCTTCCACTTGTTTCTGAAACATTCGCCTCAGGTAACATTAACAGTTTGTGAGGAACTTAAAGTGACTTGTGTCTTTTATCGTAAAAAGTACTGTTATACTTTTGCACGTACATATAAATGAAGTCATATTTCTATGAAGTTTGCAATAGAAAATGCTATTGTATATCTTAAGAATTTACATTTTATATTCAAATTATTTTACAGTACCTTATAAACACTTGTTTCAAGATTTAAAAAAAATGTACTTATTTCAGTCAAGTTCTTTGTAAGAAACAGTACTAGATATTTTAAAAGAATGGGCTGTATCAACTTTATTTTTAAAGTTTCAAATAGTGAGAATATATAAATAGAGAGAAATATATATAGAAGAATCTTTTTTTTTGAAATTATATGTCATATAAACTTAAAGGTGTCTAGCTCCATGTATATTATTTTTAATTGTCAGATTTACCAATATTTTGTATCCTTATGTTTAGGGAAAGATATTCCTTTGCCAAAGTTCACCAAAACAAATGAAACCAGTAAGTATTTATTTTTTCCACAAAAACTAACTATATATATATATAATAAAAGTGCATAAAACAAAGACAGTGTTGAGATTAAATCTATGAAAACAAGAACAGCAAGATGTATGTATTTCACTAAAATAAAGCTAATTGATTCAGAGATAAAAGGATAAATCAATTAAACAGCATTCAGGCCTATAAATTATTCTCCGCAGGCCCACTTCATTTACTAAAAACACCAAAATATTGGACATTTACATCATTATTAGAACTTATTTTTACTCTGAGCTGGAGATCTGATGCAATTATAATTAGTGTTTTTTGTCAATTGAGAAATTCAGCAAAACATCTTCAAGTTGTATGATATTTAATAATAAACTTAAAAAAAACTATTAATCACACATAACAAAACAAGCAGTAAGGCTATATAAAAAGAACAGGGTTTTTTATTTTAATCTTGCATATTATTTTTGGATTTTCTATTGATATAGAAATCAACTTATAATTTTGTGTGTTATGCAGTTCTACTTTAATAGAAGTCTTTAAAGAGAAAAAAAAATAAAAATGTTTAAAATATTTTGACTGTTCTTCTATGTTAAAATAGGTTCAGAATACACACACAATGACATAGTCATCTAGAATATATTAACCTAATAACCTGAGTGAAGCCGGGTACTTTAGCTAATATATTATATATTGAAACCCAGAAATCTAAAAAAGTTGTAAAGGTACGATAATAATAAAATTATTGTAGATAATTATAGATGCCACTATATGTCACATTATCTAACCTATATAAAAGCCAGTGTGTGTTGCGTCACATCACGCTTGATTTCTCGAAATAAGAGGAGTCATAAAAGCCAAAATGCATTTATTCAGATAGAATAGTTTGTTTAATGTCTGCCCATTACAATTTTAGTGACAGGTGCAAGGGGGCTGTGAAGGTGTTTGCTGTGAATCCTTGTAAGTGTAGTAAATGTAGGTATGATTTAAAAAAATTAATAAATAAGCCTTAAGTAAAGACATGGTGTGAAATAACGTAGCCTAGAGCCAAGTGCAAAAAATTTATCATGCAAGTAAAAACATTGATCCAATTTTAACCTTAAATCATTTCTGAATTTAATCAATGAAGACTCTAAAAATTCAATATGACATAAAAGCCATTGTTGGAATGTACTGTTACCAAAATGACTTTGTGGAAACTAAACCAGTGATTTCTATAATTTTCCTTCAATTTTGATTCTTTCTTTCAATTTGTGTCTCATTCTGGAGATTCTTTATTAAGAGCTTTTTACTGTCCTCTGTATTTATCTGTTGCTGCTGTGTCTTCATCTCTTCTTTGGACTTTCCTCTTGAGGAATTGCAATGAAAGGCATTTTTGACTATCCCCCTTAACTGCCTTCAGAATGCCTCCCACTCATATGCAAGCCCTTCAAATTCATCTAATTTTCTTGGAACAAGGTATTCCGTCCGCTTGACTCATGTAGTCAGTGGGTGCAGTTTTACCAGATCTTTGAAAGATGATGGTGTAAAACTCATGAACTTTAGAGGTTTAAGGAAAAGGTCTACTTCTCTTTTGATATTTTACAGTTCAAGAACTGGCATTTGGCCCTTCTATTAACAGATAAAATGCTTAGCCCCTATAAAACTATTATAATTTTTTGTAAGGTTTATTCTATTTTTATGTTTCTTTTATATTTATTTTTGTGATCACTGACACTAACCTGTTTAACAATACTTTTAGCACACTTCGTTATGCACCATTCTATTACATTGCTGTAGTTTATGTTTATTTTGGTTACTGTACTTTAAAATCAATTTTGTAACCTGTATTTAGGTGCTTGTTTCCATATTCCAGTTCACCATGTTAATACCATTATTATGTAAATGTGATCCATTTTGCTTGGTTTCAAACACTTTCCTTCAATTATTTGGCTTCTGTCTCTTGTTTTTTTACTCTGGTTATCAAAGCCTTTTTTTCATTTCTTTTTGACAAAGACTTGTATGATCTTAAGCTAATCTTTGGATCACACTGCTCAAATAATCCTGTTATAGGCAGTTCAAACACTTGAGTATGCTTCCTTGAATTTTTATTAGGATCTGTAGTTGTGGTGGATTTATACAGCAGTAAGTTCAACTCTTATATTAACAAATGAATAGGAAATATTCATTGGTTCTGCATGCAATGCATTAAACCTACTCCATTTGTCTAGCACCAATTCTGTCAGAAAAAATTTTCATGATGAATTAGCTTTCACATCTAACAAAGGTATTATACTTGAAGTTGTTCCTTCAATTAATTTTCCAATCTCCATTTCTGCCTTCTGAAGCTCTGGTCATATATGCTTTATCCAAGATTGATTGAGGAGGTTTCTAAATTCCTATCTGATTTCTGTATTAGTATTAAAAATTTTACTCAGGTTTTTGAAAACACATTGCTAAGTTCTCTTCATGGCAGATTTTTTATCAACACGGCCATTGTTTAATTTGCTGCAATTTTTATAAGTGCACCTGTTGTTCCCTTTCTGTTTTGGAAATTTTTAAGGCCATGCTCAATTGTGTACTAACACATTTCTCAGAACTGGGATTTCCCCATATTTTATAGATGGATTATCAGTTCATGTAATTACTCTTCTTTGGCATTTTTACTGATTAAAGGTGGATCATTTTTCATGTTTAAATTATGCTTTTGCCATTTATGTTGGTCAACAGTGGTTTATCTGCCTCTTCTACACAAAATTATTGGTCTGTCATAAGATACTCTTCCCTTTTTGAGGATACTTGTTCTCCACTCAACTGGCCTTCTGTGATTCTGTAATGAAGCTTTGTACTTCATACTTACAGATTGGATCCTTTTTCATGTTTAAATTATGCTTTTGCCACTTATGTTGGTCAACAGTGGTTTTTCCCATTTTGTCATTGATCTCACATGCTACAGATGTCAATAGCACTTCATTTTCATGGGAATAATTATGAAATATTTTTTTGCACAAAAAAATTGTTTGCATAAAAATGTCAGTACAACCCTCCGTTATCATGCCCAATTTATTTTGATGCTGTGTTATCCCCTTCCTTTTCTAGTGACTGTTCACTGTCATCTTCATTGATATTAATGTGGTGAATTTGAATTGTAATGCACTCCCATAGACTTGTGATTACAGATCCGTGATTTGGGAAACATAGTGCTATGTACTTGTAATCTGGCTAATTTAATCATGGGTAGTTTCATATTCCTTTTATGTGTACCTAGCCTCAAGTATGGGGATTAACTCTCTCAGCACTGGCTTAGTCCCACGGATCGACCTCTTAACAATTTTGTGCTTGTTATAGTTTTCATGCTATAACTTTTAAATTAATAAATATATCTTCACGAAATTTTGCTTATTACCAGTAAATATTACAAGCTTAGTTTGCAAGTAGTTCCTCTGTCTAATTGGTTTAATTCTTCTGACTCATTGAGTAAAAACAAAAACTAAAGGATAATTGGTAATGGTCAAGAGCAATTAGACAGCAGCCTCTTTGTATGTATCTATCCACATTTTCCTTCCGATCAAAGTTCTGCCAACCATTTTTTTATGTGATTTACTTTCTTTACTTTACCCTTTCCACATGGGCTCGGTTGAATTGACCAACCACATGACTTCTTTGTACTCGTTTAAAATCATTATTGTTTTGATACTACAAAATATTAATATATTATGTGTATCTTCACAAAATTTGGAAGACTTTTAGTAAACATTACAAGTCTTTTACATACCAAAAATCAGATTTTTTAGTGAAGTATTTTTAATAAACTAAAAACAGATTTATCCATGAATATATCTTTTTTTTTTTACTAGTTTCAGTGCAAAGTGATTTTCATGTTAAGATTAAAAATACTTTTCTTCATCTCAAAAATCTCAAATTTAATTTGCATAATCTCTAAAACCTCCTAATAAAATTTCAGGTGTTGTTGTTTTTTTTCGGTAAAAGTTTATATTTTTATCGGCTATTTTCTCTACCCTAACTCTATATGGTTTTAATCGATTTGACTGACCTCGTAAACATCATAAAAATTAGGAAATAAATCTAACTTACCCTTTCTTTTGTTCTTGAATGACTGCAAATTGTAATCGGAAACCACAAACAGCTTAATTCTCATAACAGCATATATCTATTTATACTTATTAATTCTTTGTTTTATTGACCTTTGAACTGTGTTTTACTAGAAATACCCTGACACAAGTTGAAAATTAGATGGTGCATGTGCAGCTCACATTATCGTATCATATAGCGTAATGCAAAAGCTGCTTGCTAGTATACCACATGAAGATTTTTTTCTCCTTATTTTACCTAATAAGTTTATATTTTCTTTTTACAGTTTAGTTAATTTTATAATGATAAATATAGAAAACAAATAAAAAATAAAAAACCTTATAATTAAATGTCAAACACTTTTCAGTAATGCTTTATATTTTATCTGTCATTTTCTCTACTGTAACATTATTCCTGATTTTCCAGGTTGTAAGATAAGTTATCAAAGTATTATGAAAAGAAAGGTTGCAAAGTGCAAAATAAAATGTATAGTATAATATTGATAGTGTTGATCACAAAATTTCAAGGACTTAAGGTCAGAGTTTATACTTTTCACGTATTCACACTTATTTTCTGTAGTAATTTTATTGTCAGGAGCTGACTCAGAAACTAGACAAAATGAATAGTCCTGTCTGTCTTTTTCAGTATAGATCACTAATACAAAGTAAATTCCTGAGAGTTTCTTCTGATATTTTCACACCTATTTCCTATGTTTATTGTACTTTTAGCGGCTGAAGTAGAAACCTGCTGAACATAAAGCAATGAATCGTTGTTCCTTACTTAGTTTGACACTGTCAATATCAAATAAGCTCATGCGCTACAATTCCCAGAACTTTCCCTGCTTTGATAACACAGTTGGGTAGGATTTATCAACTTGTTGACAGTTTAATGGTTTCAACAACAATTATCTAAAATATTATAAAATGTTTATGTTATAACTTTTTATAGAAAGTCCGGGCTGATCCAATAAGTAGATAAGCAAACATTTCTTAAAGAGTATTTGAATCTAGGCTCTGAGAACACAGTGGTTGCAACAAGAATTGTCTAAAGTACTTTATAAAACAGAGAGAAAATATTTATGATATGGCTCTGTACAAATTTGTATCCGATCCAATAAACTTAAGTATTTCAATGTTAGTTAACCTACTGGGTGATCAGGATTTAGTGTTAGTATAGGTGTAAAAGTGTGTATGTGTTTATGAACATCCTGTTTCCTACATTACCATGTAACCAATAAATGCACAGTTTCCAGTAATATAAATATGTCTTGTTTTGGTTGAGCTAGTATTTTTGGCTTAGCCTACTTGATTATCACTTCAGAAACAAATTATACAGTGATTACTTTTTGCTTGAATGTACTATAATATGTTCTAAAACTTCTCTATAATAAAATACAAATCTCTTACTCTTAGCACTAGTGTACCAGTATTTTGTAAAATACAGTAATGTTTTGGTTACTATACATTACATATATATATATATATTATTATTTTCAAATAAATACTTAAATGCCAGTATTTTTCTTAAAACATAGAACAGTAAATAAAAAGTATTTGGAAAACAATGATCTCTATTACTTACGATGCTATGAAACTTTCGTTTGCACTCGTGAGTCGTACTTGCTAACCCTTATCATCAACCTCGTCCAAATTCACATGTGGAGATGGAAAAGAATCATTTCTGTAGACTTTATATATGCATTTTAGAATGCCAAATAATTATAAATTACTATACCAATACCCCACAAATCCATTGTGACTTATCAAGCTTCCTAACTAACTTGTATTTGGGTAACAAAAAATTAATTTCTGTTCAGTAAATAGCCTTGATCGAATTACTTCAAACTTTCCAACTGTATAAGAGTTTTTTTCTACTAAATAATTTAGGAAGAGTGACAGAATTACGTAGAAGATATGTAGAACTTTTGATTGGTTATAAAATTATTGTTATACAAAAGTAGGCATAGTTAAATGAGTCTTCTCAAATTATGAAGTGGTGAGCATAGTCAGTATGATGGATTTGCTAAATATTAAGATATTTCAGCAAATAAAAAGGTAGGAGGTTTTTATTTTATATTCTAACTTGCCAATATCAGAAATCTGAGTTTCTAATTTCTAAGAAACTATAGCCATTGTATTGTGGGCATCACAAAATGTAACCTGACCAAACCGAGAAGGTTAATACACAAGTTGACCAAGGTGCAATCCAAGTTACAGTATGGGAAACTGAAACCATCAGTCTGACTTATTGAAAATAAACAGATGCAATCATAGCAGAGAAAGGCTACAGAAAATTTACGTTACCTTCATTAACCCTATGGGCATAGGTAGAGGCCAGAAGGCATGTCATCACATTTGTAGACTTATATTCAAAATTTTATTTAACTATTATTCTATACATGTGTGTAAATATGTTTGGCATTAAATGGAATATTATAATTCAAATTTTATATTACACATTAATTAGGTTCTTAATTTGAAAGTAAATATATAAAAAAAAGAGGCTAAATATCAATTTTTGTGTGTGTCACATGGTACGTAATTTATTTTTCCATTTCATTACTTGGATAACTGCCCTTGTAAAACTTCCAGTGGATATACGTTAATATGTACATCTTTTCTCTGCTTGACATGTATTTGTGTTATACATGAATATTCACAAACATTTCTAGTTCTCATCACAGAAGCATTTGTAATTTTTATAAAATGCCTCACTTTGCCTCAAATGTTTCATTAGTTTCAAAACAAGCAGTGTAAAATAGTTTGCTTGATGCCTGCATAATGAAGTATAAGAAATATTGTATTTTATTTGCATACAATATTGGAATTTTTTTAAATGCACAAAGTTTTAAAATACAATAAAGTACTTAAAGAAATGACACACATTTTTATGCCATATAACATTTTTCTTTCATCAAGCCTACTGGAGGCTGCAGCTGAATAAGACACACATTTGTACTTGTGGGATATTCAAGTTTGAAATATTTTCCTTTTCCAATAATTCATGGTCTTCATGAACGTTTTATTTATATTTAATGCAACTTTTAATGATTTAAGAAACTAAATTGTTTGAGATAACTTTAATAAAGCACTCAGAAGGAAAAGTCTCTAAATTCTTAGAACTTTCTCTATTCCTATGTTATGTTTCAGCCTTAGTTCTACATCAGGTAAAAACTAATGCACAATTTAACTGGTCATTGTATTTAAAATGTCCTTCATGAGAATTTAGAGAGCTTTAATTTGTAATGTATTAGGAAGAAGAAGCAAAAGTGTACTGAAAGGTTTTAAAGATTATCTAATGCACTCTAATCTGTATAAATAAGAACAGTATATTTAATTAGTTGTACTCACTACTGAGTAGATCTTTAGTTATGATCTGTGTAGATGACTTGCTATGATCAGAAGTTAATATTAATTAGACTCGGATGAAACCGTACGTTAGTATGTACAAAAGCTTTTGGACATAAACAAATATGCATATTAGAAAAATTACTATGCCAGAAGTCCAAGACTTCAATTAAGTTACATAGTTTTGTTAATTTACTTCATATTTATAGGAGCTTGTATAAATGATTCAGCATTTTTCAGTCATTTAAAGAATAAATTTTTCAATTTATCTTAGGTTTGTCAGTGGCACCCACTGAAGGTAGACCAAGTAACTTTAATCAGCAACTTCCTGGACAGTTGCCTCCCCCCCCAACAAAAGTCTACAGTAGACAGGGATCTGGTGTGATACACAGACAAGGAAGTTTGAAATGTGATGCTGTAGACTCTAGCCATGTTGCTGTTTCACAGGTAGACCTTGACCTTTCTTTTATCTGTAGCTTTAGCACTGTTGATCAAGTAACTACAATTTACATAGATTTCTCACAAGTTTGTAATTAATTTGTTTTAAGGATAACTCTGTAAAGTTTTTATTTTCTAAGCTCTGAAAATACAATTTTAATACTCTAGAAGAAGCAACAATAATTTATATTGACATTTTTATTTGTGGTGTTGGTGGTTTTGTTTACACACAATAATTATTTCACATTTTAACTGACCAACATTATCTTATTGGAACCTTGAAAATATATAAAACTCCACTAAGAAAACAGTTTTTGGTGTCCTATTTTTTTTTCATAGCTGTATCAAAGACACAGTCTGTAGTACAGGGTACTTAGTCAAAATAAGGCTTAACCCTTTCGAGATGGGTCACAGGTGAAAGGCTATGTCATTTCGATTGTTGACTCGCATTCAAAATTTTATTGAACTATTATTTCATGAATTTATGTCAATGAGTTTGGTATCAAACTGTAGAATATAATTCAAATTTTAGTACTATATATTACTCAATTTCTTAATTTAAAAGCAAATATAAAAGAAACACAGATAAACATCGATTTTTGTGTGTCACGTGGTATGTTGAATGCAGCACTGGTTCATATTAGATGTTTATGATGTCAAAATACAAAGTCTATAGTTTCGAACGAATTAGAAACTCAAATTACCAATATTGACAAGCTAGAATATAAAATAACAGCCTCTTATTTTTTCAATTTGCTAAGATATTGCTCATGTAATAAATCAAACACAGTGACACCCACCACCTC